CACACACACACACATTCCTGTCCTGGGGGAGGTGAGGCAAGGAAGCAACCAGAAGGCCAAGCAGGGGGGCTTCTCCCAAACGGGGGGGGAGCGGGGGAGGAGGAGGTTGCCCAGCGTCCAGAGAAGAGAACAAGGGGAGCCTCCTCGGGGTCTGGCAACGGCTTCTTTGGGCCCCCATCCCCTGTTCTGTTCCCTCAGCCTCAGCCCAGGGGTCTCTCTTGGAGGATGAGCAAGCCTTCAGCCCCATAGACCCCCCCCCGTTGCGCTCCTTCCCTGCCAGTTCCCCCAAGACCGAGGCCTCCCCCCCCAAACAAACTTGGCAAGAACAAGAGAAAACCCCGATTTCTCTCCCCCCACTTTGAGGGTGCCCCCCACCTTCCCGCCTGGGACGCCCTTCAGTGGGAATCGGGGCGTCGTTTCTTAAGGGGGGGAGGAGAAATTGGAGCTCACCTTCCCTCGAAGCTGCTTCGGCCCTTCAGGAGGCACCACGGCCGCCCCCTCGAAGGGACTCCGGTCGGGGGGGCCAAGGGCGGGGAGGAGGGGCGGCCCTTCCCCGGAGCCTGGAGCGGGGGCGCAACTTTCCCACGCGCGGAAAGGAAACTTCCCCCGGAGCAGAGACGGGGCGCCGCTCTTGGGCCTGGGGAGGGCAGCGAAGAGGAGCCCGGAAAGGACCCCCCCGCCGCACTTTCGCCCCCCCCCCCGTCCTCCTCCTCCTCCTCCTCCGAGCAGCCGCCTTTCCCGCCGCGTGGAAAGCTAACCGCGTGCTCGGCGGCGCCTGCGCAGAAGAAACCGGGGGGGGGCGGTCGAGGTGGGGGTTTCCTTTCCCAGCTGGGAGGCGGGGCGGGAGGAGACGCTCCTGCCCCTCCCCGCGGTGGGAGGCCGTTTCCCCCGCGTGGACCGCTGAGCCAAGCCGGACCCCTCGCCTGGGGCTTTCCCCCCCCCTCCTCCTCCTCCTCCTCCCGGGATAAGACCCCCGTGGGGGGAGGGGCCCGGGATTCCCTTGGTGCCCCCCCCACGCTCCTGGAGGGGTCCAAAAAGTCAAGAGGGCGGCCAGCCCAAACTGCTGGGGGGGGGAAATGAAGCTTCAGGGGGCGCCTCTCCCGCGTGGGCGGGGGGGTCCCTTCAGGGCGAGGGGCGCGGAGGAGGGGCCTCCCTCGCAGGAGTGGGGTGGGGGATGGGGAAGGGGGGCCGCTCCGGGGAGACTTTGGCGAAGACCCCGCAGAGCCCCATTCAGGAGAAATCTCACATCTTTGCTCTCTCTCCCTCTCCCCCCCCAACCCACCTCACAGGGTCGTTGTGGGGAAAATAAGAGGGGAAAGGACCGTTGGGGATGTTCACCGCCTTGACTTAGTAATAATAAGAAAGGCAGGATTAAAAATTAGTAAATCGGTTTGTGTCGGTTCCAATTTGAACCCAAAAGGGGACCGAGAGCTGGAGGAGAGCCGAGGGGGCCCCCAACCTCCCAGGCGCCAGGCGAGCACTGGTTTTAACTGGTCCCTCCTTCTCGGCCGGGCACCTTCGGGGCTGCCTCCCCACTTCACCCCCCCAAGGGGGAGGAACCACTCATTCTCAGGGGAGGGGCTCTTTCCCCAGGGGGGGCATCCAGAGGGGCCTCCCCCACATTGGCGCCATCCTCCCTTCCGGCCTTCAGCCTTTGGGGTCAAGGGGGCTCTGTGTGCGAATTAGGTGCCTTCTATGCTGGGGACCTTTAAACTTTTTAACCATTTTATTGCCGAAAAGTGTCCGGAGTCCTCGTCTACCTCCTGGGCTTTTTCGGCTGCACAAGAGAGTCAGGCTGGCCGGCCGGAGTCCTGCGGCCACTCAGGGCCTTTTGTGGGATCCGAGTGGCCCCTCCCCCACAGAGGCCACAGCCAGGGTCCGGGGAGGGGTGGTGGTGGGGGGTCCTGGGGCAGCCTCCTCCAGGCGGGACCTGCCCCGTGTTGGCATCTGGAAGGACCCCACTGCCTGCCCAAGGGTGGTCTTCCCCCCAAGGGTGGACAAGCATCTGTCTGGAATGGTTGAGGGGGGTCTCCTGCCTGCGCGGGGGGGGGGGTCAAAGCCTCAGATTCCAGGCCACCGAGTCAGATGTGGGGGGAAAGTCNTCGCCAAAGCCTCCCCTGAGCGGCCCCCGGGAAGCCCGCCCCCTTCCCCACCCCCCCATGCCACCCCACGCCTGCGAGGGAGGCTCCTCCTCTGCGCCCCCCGCCCTGAAGGGACCCCCCCGCCCACGCGAGAGAAGCGCCCCGTGAAGCTTCATTCCCTCCCCCAGCAGTTTGGGCTGGCCGCCCTCTTGACTTTTTTGACCCCTCCAGGAGCGTGGGGGGCCACCAAGCGAATCCCGGGCACCTCCACCCACGGGGGTCTTAATCCGGGAGGAGGAGAGGGCGAACCCCACCCGTGGGTGGGCGAGGGGTTCTTCTTTGCGGAAGCATCGAGGGTGGCCGGCTCCCCCCAGCCCCCCCGTGCCGTGGAAAGGCCCGCGAGGGGCCCCCGGGGGAGAGCAGCCGGGCGGGAGGGGGGGCTCAGCGCTCCACGCGGGGGAAATGGCCTCCACCCGCAGGGAGGGGCAGGACCGTCTCCTCCCGCCCGGCCTTCCAGCTGGGAAACGAAACCGAAAGCTCGGGTGTCTTCCTGGTTTCTTCTGCGCAGGCGCCGCCGAGCCCTCGCTTAGCTTCCCAGGCGGCGGAAAAGGCGGCTGTTCTTCGGAGGAGGAAGAGGAGGAGGAAAAGGCGAAAGTGCCCCCCAGGCCCCAAAGCGGCGCCCCTCCTCCCCGCCCTTGGCCCCCCCGACCGGAGTCCCTTCGAGGGGGCGGCCGTGGTGCCTTCTGAAGGGCCGAAGCAGCTTCGAGGGAAGGTGAGCTCCGCTTCGTCCTCCCCCCCTTAAGAAACGACGCCCCGATTCCCACTGAAGGGCCCCCCAGGCGGGAAGGTGGGGGGCACCCTCAAAGTGGGGGGGGAGAACCGGGTTTTTCTCTTCTGTTTCCCAGTTTGTTTGGGGGGGAGGCCTCGGTCTTGGGGGACTGGCAGGGAAGGAGAGCAACGGGGGGGGGTCTATGGGGCTGAAGTCTTGCTCATCCTTCAAGGAGGGCCGGGACCCCTAGAGACCCCTGGGCTGAGGCTGAAGGGACACAAGAGTGGATGGAGGAACCGCCTAGATGGTTCCGCCCCAGGCGCCTGATGGACCCGGAGAGGTTCCTGACGGAGCTTGGGCCATATCCTGAGGACCTAGTTCACGATTCGGTTGACAATCTGGCGGCGGCCTGGGAGACGGCCGCTGCCGCAGCATTGGACCGAGTCGTGCCTTTGCGGCCTCTGACCCGGCGCAGATCTCAATTGGCT